TAGGATTAGACAAGACAATATTTATAGAGTACTGAGAGCAGACCTCACATACAGCAAATCTCCATAAATATCAGCTGTTATTAGCTGAAGGGATGGAAATGGCTCCAATGTTCTGTGGTCAATCAATCCAACAGGGTTCAGTTGTCCACCAGATGGAAAGAGTCTACATGCGTAGGAGCAGTGTGGACACTCACAAGTGAGGAGAAGCAGCAGAAGAGCACGTAACTGACAGGGACTAGCCTGAGAGTGTAATTCCTGCTAAAGGAGAGAAGAGACCCGAAGGTGTAGAAAATGCTCCTACTCGAGATCATGTCTCTTAGAACAAAAGATGGAGAAGGCAGAGAAGCAGAAAAGGGGTGTCTCAAGTCTTCAGTTTAGGAGCCAGTGGCAGTTCTGGAAGCCTATGATTTAACTTTTGAGCACGTGAGCAGCTTAAGTTGCCTTTTAATAAGATGAAATCACAGACATAATAGAGTGGCCTCGGCTGTGTGGTTGATTTTAATAACGACTTCAATTTTGTTTTAGCCAATAATAAGTGGGTTTTTTTCCTCATTAAAAAAAAAAAAAAACACACTTGGGGCCAGCCTGGTGGCGCAAGTGGTTAAGTGCGTGCGCTCCACTGCGGCGGCCCGGGGTTCGCCGGTTCAGATACCGGGTGCGCACCGACGCACCGCTTGTCAGGCCATGCTGTGCCAGGCGTCCCATATAAGGTGGAGGAAGATGGGCATGGATGTTAGCCCAAGGCCAGTCTTCCTCAGCAAAAAAAGGAGGATTGGCAGATGTTAGCTCAGGGCCGATCTTCCTCACAAAAAACAAACAAACAAACCACACTTGGCATTTTCCTGAGTGACTGTTATCTCCTGTCAAAGGCATATATGCTCAGTCGTGGGGAACATCTGTGCTGTGGCAGCCTCCCTTGTCCTCCTGTGGAAATATTACACCGAAGGAAGACTGCTCAAAAGCAATAAGAAATCAACTTATATTTAGCATCAAAAACAGATCCAAGACTAATCACAGGCTGGTATTTTCTGCTTTCCTGAGACGCACTGCCAGACTGAAAAGTATGGCCTGTGATATCCGTCTTCAGAAAGAGGCAGCAGGGAACCAAAAAAGCCGCTCTTGGCTACCTGACACATCACGTTCACTGCCCGGATCTAAGTACCAGCCCTGGGCTCTATCTGCAGTTTTCAGGTAGGTCGTTTATGGAAGCTGGAAACAAGATGAAATCAGTCTTTGAGCTTCCTTCCCACCTTCTCAACACCGAGGTCACTGGGAGGGCGCCTTGAACTTGAGTAAAGCAGCCAGTCCAGGTAAACGAGGGCAACTCACCCCAGACGCGCCTCAGAGCGGTGACACGGCAACTGTGCCCACAGCTGCAGAAACGTTATTGCAACAGTCTTGGGGGGAGATGCAAACTGAACACACAGGTATAAGGAGGAATTTTGTCATTCAAGATAAAATTTGACCAGTTTTCAAAGCAAACTCCCAAAACCAAGCAGAGATAAATCAATAAAGTAATGAAAGAAAGCACTTAATTAAAAAAAATAAGTAGATTTTTTTCTCCCTTTAGGAAGAAAAGTGTAACGTTGTTTAAAATATGTTTTCCAAACACAAGTACACAACGATTTTACGATTTCTGAAATCCCCCGCTTCTTGAACCGCTCCTGGTTCTGGCTGGAGTGCAGGGCCGAGAGGTGGACAGCGCAGACGGGGGAAGGTCTAACCTCTTTGGGAATTAGCCTGTGGGCCTCTATCAGATCCTGTCCAAAGCTTATCAGTTGGTCTGTAGGGCTCAGTATTACAGGAGGCTGCGAGCTGGCCGTTGTAGTAGGCTCAGTCTGTTTCTAGCTGAGAAGAACAACGTTGGTACGCTTACAGAAAGCATTTCCCAGGTGGAAGGCACAGCCAGGCTACCACAGCCTTTCCTGTATCCTTTTCTTGAATGCTCAAGACTTCTAAAAACAGTTGGGTGTGTATTTGGCATCTTCAGAGTACTCAGATCTTACAAATACATGGAGTCTTGAGAGGTCTTAGCTACATTTCCAGGCTCCAAGCAGTTATCTAGGACAGATGAGAGAGAGGCTACTCCTTTCACTTTGCCCTGGTAAATTAGGTGGGACGAGGGAACTGAAGGGTTCACTTTCTACTGCACTTTATCATTCTACCCCTGACATCAATGACTTTTACAGGCCTGCCGAGCAGGCCTAGAAAGGGTCTCAGCATCATCGGGTGCAGCCTGCTGCCCCCAGGCTGGTGACATTTGGTTCCTCTGTGTAGGTTAACTTCTGCCGACAAGCCACATTCAAACACATTTCACTATTACATCAATTCAGCTGGACCATGAGTCAAACTGTTATATGTACATTAAATACAAGCAAATACAAACAAATACAATCTTGCCTTTGTTTTAATGGGGATTCATTATGTACCTATCCAAGAAATTTTCTTCCAAAGCAATTAATTTACTGGAGGTAAAATACCCAAATGAAGGAAAGGACTCAAGAGTCAACTCAGTGGCGACTACAAGTAACCCATGTTGTACTGAATGTGTGAGGTCACCATTGATAGGTCCAATGGTGGCTAAGGTTACAGAGAACAGAACAGCTTTTTTAGAACCAGATGTTATTCCAAGACCTGCAAGAATCTGAGACAGGAAGAGAAAGATTAAAGGACTAAGATGTGCCGACGTAGCCACAGCTGAAAACAGCTATCGAAAGGCAGCAGGCATCTGGGCAAAAAACTTTCTTTTTAGCTTGGAGGCCAGAAATATGTTGGTATTGCCTCTGGAATTGGAACAAAACCAATTTTTAATTGGTTTTAAAATCTGGAATGAAACATTCCTGCAGTCATCCATGAACTGACCTTATCCTGTAGAAGCTGAGTGAATTTTGGCGAACCATCTGCCTTGTGAATTGTTTTGTTTGGGCCCCTTATAGGACAGAAAGTACTCGTTGTCCTGCAGTTTCACATCAAGTTATAATCCTTCAGAATGTTGCTTGAGCAGCAAATTCAAGAAGAGAAAAAAAAGTCTGCAGGGAGAAAAATCAAATGTCTGTGTTGATATGCTTTGGGGCTGGGTGGACCTGCAAGGCTGGGAGCCATCACCTACTTTCCTCCAGACCTCAGCATCATGGCCTCCAAGAAGAAGTTAATCCTATCTGTGCAGAGGAGAAGCAGCTGGACAAGCAGACTGCATCAGTGAGGGCCCAACAAGGTATTTTAAGATTGGTCTGACTTAGAATTTCACAAGACTCACTGCTGTAGCTCCAGGGCTTCACACACAGCCAAATCCCATCAAGTCTCGGTGAATGAATGGTGACTCTTTTGAAACGTGTGTACTATGAAATTACCTCGTGGCAGAGCGTGTGGGGGGCCCACCTGTTCCCCCATCTCCAGGACTGTGCTCTCTCTACACAGGATGGAATAAAGCATTCTCCAAGTGCCCATGGTTGGGGAGACACTTTCTCCAATTCCTCCTTAAGTCCACTCTGCCCCTGCCACCGGGAATAGGGGTAAAGGAGGAAACTGAGAGGATTACTCAACAATTCCTGACTCCTGAAACAAAAGGGAAAACCTGTTGTAGATGAAGAAGATAGTCTAAACTGCCTCATAAATAAAAAATGCACTGTCTCAGACTGGAAATAGTTGAAATAAGTAAGCCTCACCAAGAACTTGCAGCGTTTAGTTTTGAATGGCTGCCAAAGAACTGAGAAGGAAAAAGGAGCAAGAAACCAAGTTTAGCTGTAATAATAATAATAATAAACAATAATATCAACAGTAACAGCTTTTACATATGGATTTTTTTCCAAAAGGAAGAGCATTCTATTTTTTAAAAAGGGGGAGAAGGAGGTTATATTCTTCAAAAATGTCAATATCATGAAAGACAAACAAAGGCTGAGGAACTGTTCTAGATTAAAGGAGACTAAAGAAACATGACGACTAAACACATCATGTGATCCTAGACTGAACCGTGTTCTGGAGAGGAAAAAATGCCAGAAAGGACATTATTGGGTCAATTGACAAAACTGGACTACAACCAGCAGATTAGATAAAGTGTTGTATCAATGTTTAACTTACTGAAGGTTATATCAAAGAATATCCTTATTCTTGGGAAATCCACATTGAAATATCTGGGAATAAAAGGCCATAATGTAGGTAACTTACTCTTTTATAAAATTAATTAATTAATTTTAAATTGAGATATAATTTACTAGAGTTTTCAATTTTCTGATATACTTTTAAAATACGTGACTGAGAGATACCAGATCTTAACTCTAGGATGCTGCATGGCATCTTTATTAGGACATGTAACTTCACGCTGGTACCCCGGTGAATGGAAGCCCTCTGAAGCCAAAGTGCACTCGAGAAGTGCAGGGAAGTGATACTTATTCAGGGACTGCAGGCTGGCGGGACCCATATTTCAGAGTGGAAAACACTTTATCAGGTCTGAAGTTACCAATGCATAAAGTTAACCACGCTTGTAGCCATTCTTGAGGCTTGCTAACTGATATGCGTTACCAGGTCTAATACACTGCAATCTATTCCAGATGATCAAGAGCATAAAAGGGGTATTGCGCATATTGTAGAGCAAAAGGGAGTTTTTATACTTACTGAAATCAAGGCTTCCCTAATTCAGCGCAACCCTGGAGAACCACATATTTCCCTATAACTTAATTCACACAAGTGGGTTTTCTAGAGCCGGACCATCTGACTCAAATCCCAGCTCCACCACTCACCACCTGAATGACTTTTCCCAACTTAAACTCACCTCTCTTTGCTTCGGTTTCTTCATCTGTAAATGGAGATAATAAAAATACCTACCTCACAGTGTTGGGGTGAGGATTAAATAAGTCAACACTTTGAAAACACAGGAGTGCCTGGCCTGTGGCAAATAGTCCATGAATGTTACCTTTTAATGTTAATTCAATGCTGCAATGCAGGAGATAGAAGAAAAAGGGATGCAGTGTCATGAATCCAGCATCAAGGATTTCGATATTCACCTATAACACAGAAGGGCTTTCGGGCAAATCTCAATCTTCCTTGCCATCCTCTATACCGACAACAGCAACCTGCAGACCAGATTCGAATGATGAACTCCAAACCAAAGACGACAATCATCACAAACTCCTAAAATACCAAATAAGACATGTTAGAGAGAGGCGTTTTGGAGCAAACCACAGCAAGAAGCTCTGTGGACATTTAGGTACTTGTCTAAAACACGTAGTTGTTAATGTCCAAAGTTAACATCTCCTCCAAATCAAACTAAACGTGGAGAACATCTGAGTCTCACATTGTCTGCATTTCCTGTCATGGAAGGTTGTTCCTTCTCGAGTCTCTAACACTTTGCAAATTTAGGAGTCAGTTTTAATACTAAATGTGCAGGCTGAATTACGGGTCTGCCTTGTCTGGAATATATAGTGTAACTGACTTTTAGCTACATGGTAACATGTGAAATATCTGAAATGAAAGAGCGGACCCTGAAAATACAGCTTTACAGTTTTACAGAAAACAAAGCTTCATTTTGCTTCAAGGAGTGACATAATCCCTAACCCCTAACAGTTGTTCTCAGAGAAAAAGCAGTAAATATTTAGAAGTCTACTGAGTTCTTTTGTTACGGTGTCAAAATCTCCTTGTAAAACAGCAAGTTTCAAAAGCATTACCGTGTGTGGCACATATACCCTTTGCGGGAAATGAGACTCTGGATCAGAAGCTCTTTAATTATTATGCTGCCCTTTGGTGAGAGCTGCCTGGAAAATAACACCTGCTCCAGGAAAGTGATTTTGAGACTATTTGGAAAGAGTTGTGAGTGGACCTTGGGAAAAAGCCAACTAAAGTGGCTTATTAAGCAGTGGGTCAGGGAGCAAGAAACCAAACGGGACTTGTGAGCAGAAAGCGTCTCAGAGCGAGCTCGGCTGAGTCACCTCGTCGTCCCTTTACAGGGACAGGCACTGACTTTATTGAAATTCGTTTTCCTTCAAAAACTAATTCCCTTTCTTGTTTTTAAGCAAGGGTTGACTACGTATTTCTAATGGAGAACAATACTGTATTTATGAAATGATTTTTTATGATTGCTTAATTATGAAAGTGATACAAGGTCTTTTTTATTAAAACATTCAAACATCACAGGAATATAGAGCATAGAAAATAAAGGTCCTAATCCACTCCCCATTCTCCCACCCCACCTCCCAAGACAAAAACTGTTACCAAAATTAGAAAAATGGCATTTTGTTGCAAGTTTCAGGCAAATGTTTGTTTCTTTAGTTAGAGCATGTGACGGCGTGTTGCACTTTTGAAATGCCTAGTAGAGACATATCATTCTATCCTTCTGTTATTTTGCCCTAAGTAATCCACAAACATTTCTCATGATGGGAAATAAATCTCTAATATCATCACTGCTTACTGACAGTGACTTAAAACTACCTGTGGGATAAATCACCAAGATGACTTTATGCACAGATAACCAAACTATGGTTGACACACACTCATTAAAGACATGAGAGTTTGTTTTGTTTTGGTTTGGTTTTGAGTATGTATCTAGGTGGCTGAGCCTGTTCATCCATTAAGGCACCTCAGCTCTAGATCTGTTTCTAACCTAGCACATCTCTCCACATACAGAAGGCACGCTGAGGCCCGAGAGGCCCACAGAGCTGGGCCTGGGGTCAATCCAGGTCTAATGGCAGGTCCACTTTCTATCCCTTCCCCTAACTCCTCCTTGTACTAGGAAGTTTGGCACTCCACTGGTGAGAGGTCATATTACAAGGGATACCCAAGAAAATCCCAAATGTGGCCTGAGCTCCCAGGCACGACCATAGAACGATTTTTCTTTTCCATGGAAACAGATGACACCAATGGATGTATGGCCGTTACTCTAAAGGAAGGTAGGTTTTCACTACACAATTTCAGAATTACACTGAGGCAGGATAAATTACATCTACAAAATCTTTACTCAGGGCCCCTTGTTCAGGAATATTGATTGCTGCCTTTTTTTTTGTTTTTCCCAAAGAGATTAGGAAAAAAAAATTCCTTCATTTCCAAATAAAGCAAGAGGAAGTTGTAATTGGGTTTCACCACAGCGTCACAAATCTCCTCCCTTACTAGATCATTGCTTAGAATTCCCTGTGAGGGCTGGGTTTTAGACTGTGGAAAATAACCTCAAAAAGCTCCCTCCCTGAGTGAGGAGCAGTGAGAAACAAGAGCTCAGTGGTGGGCTGTGGAGCTGCAGGCTGTGGGGACGTTCTCGCTCAAGGACTTGGGCTTAGGTGACGGAGACACAAGTGTGAGAGCCACTTTGACCAGAGTCTGTCTCTTGGTTCCTAAAATTTCCATCTTACTTCCATTTAAAGGAACACAATGCTACTGAGCCAGAGAAAGAGAAAAGAACCGCAGTCTGGCAGACCTTAGAGCTGGTGGGGGCAGTGGAACTGCGAGAGACCACTTTCTCTCTTTCTTTTCCCAGCTGTGTTGAGATACAATTGACAAATAAAAATTGTATATATTTAAGGTATACAATGTGATGTTTTGATATAGTTATAACTGTGAAATGATTACCACAATCAAGCTAATTAATCCATCACCTCACATAGTTAACATTTTTTTGGTGATGAGAACACTTAAGATCTACTATCTTAGCAAATTTCTAGTATATGCTACATGATTATTAACTACAGTTACCACGCCGTATATTAGATCTGCAGAAGTTATTAATCCTGCATAACTGGGAGTTTGTGCCCTTTCACCAACGTCTCCCCATTTCCACCCCCACCCCTCAGCCCCTGGTAACCACCAACCTACTCTCTGCTTTTATGAGTTGGACTATTTTAGATTCCACGTATGTGAGATCATGCGGTGTTTGTCTTTAAATGTCTAACTTATTTCACTTAGCATAACGCCCTCCAAGTTTATCCATGTTAATGCAAATAACAGGATTTCCTTCTTTTTTTAAGACTGAATAATATTCCTTTTCTTCATCCGTTTGTCCATCGATGGTTGTTTCCATATCTTGGCTATTTTGAATAATGCTGCAATGAACATGGGAGCACAGGTATCTCTTTGAGCTCCTGACTTTACTTCCTCTGGATGTATGCCCAGAAGTGGGATTGCTGGATCATATGGTAGTTCTATTTTTAATTTTTTGAGGAACCTCCATACTGTTTCCCATAGTCACCGCACCAATTTACATTCCCACCAACGGTGCACCAACATATATCTATTTTCTCCATATCCTCACCAGCATTTGTTATCTCTTGTCTTTTTGATAATAGCCATTCTAATAGGTATGAGATGATATCTCATTATGGTTTTGATCTGCATTTACCTGATTATTAATGATGTTGAGCACTTTTTCATATACCTGTTGGCCACTTGTATATCTTCTTTTGAGAAATGTCTGTGCAGGTCTTTTGCCCACTTTTTAATTGGGTTATTTGTTTTTTTGCCATTGACTTACAGAAGTTTCTTATATATCTGGATATTAACTTGTTCCATAGGTTGTCTCTTCATTCTGTTGGTGGTTTCCTTTACTATGCAGAAACCTTTTAGTTTGATGCAATCTCACCTGTCCAATGTTTGCTTTTGTTGTCTGTGCTTTGGGGGTCATATCCAAAAAATATTGTCCAGACCAACATCAAGAAGTTCTTTCCCTATGCTTTCTTCTAGTAGTTTTACAGTTTCAGGTCTTATGTTTAAGTCTTTAATCCATTTTGGGTTGATTTTTTGTAAATGGTATGAAATGAGTCCAATTTCATTCTTATGCATGTGGATACCCAGTTTTCCCATTCATGATAAAAACTTTCAGGAAGTTAGGAATAGAGGTTTATCATCTCAATTTAATAAATAGCATTTACAAAAAACCTAGAGCTAACGTCATACTTGGTGAGCTAGTGGCTAAGATTTGGCACTCTCACTGCTGTGCCCAGGTCCATTTCCAGGTCAGGGAACCACATCAACCCATCTGTCAGTTGTCATACTGTGGCTGCTGTGTCTTACTGTGATGCTGAAAGCTATGCCACTGGTACTTCAAACACCAGCAGGGTCCCCCATGGTGGACAGGTGTCAGTGGAGCTTCCAGACTAAGACAGACCAGGAAGAAGGTCCCAGCCCCCACTTCTAAAAAATTGGCCATGAAACCCTGTGAATAGCAGCAGAGTGTTATGTTATTTAGCACTGGAGGGTGAGAGGATGAAGCAAAAAGACCAGGCAGCGTTCCGCTCTGCTGTGCACAGGGTTGCTAGGAGTCGGAATCGACTTTATGGCACTAAAAAATGGTATACTTAATGGTGAAAGACTGCATGTTTTCCCCTAAAATCAAGAACAAGGCAAGATGTTATTTTCATCACTTATTCAACATAGTTGAATAATAGAGTCGCTGCACTAGGGCAAGTAACAGAAATAAAAGGCATACGAATTGGAAAGGCAGACAAAACAGTCTCTATTTGCAGATGACATGATTGTCTACAGAGAAAATTGCAAGGAATCTACAAAAAAAACTCGTGTAACTAATAAGTGAGTTCAGTAAGGTTGCAAGATAGAAGATCAACATGCAAAAATCAATCACATTTCTGTACACCAATGATGGGGATGTGGAAACCAAAATTAAAAGCACAATATTACACATAACCACTTTAAAGAAAACGGAATGTTTAGCTATGCACTTAACAAAACACGTACAGGATGTGCATGCTGAAAATTACATAACGTTGATGGAAGAAATCAGAGAAGACTTAAATAAAGCCATGGTCATGGACAGGAAGACCCAACATAATAAAGATGTCAGCTCTTCTCAAACTGACCTATAGGTTCAATGAAAGTCCTATCAAAATCTCAGCAAGCTGTTTTTGTAGACATAAACAAACTTATTCTAAAATTTATATGGAAAACGGGCCAGCCCCATGGCTTAGCAGTTAAGTGCGCATGCTCCGCTACTGGCAGCCTGGGTTCAGATCCCAGGTGTGCACTGAGGCACTGCTTGTCCGGCCACGCTGAGTCAGCATCCCACATACAGCAACTAGAAGGATGTGCAACTATGACATACAACTATCTACTGGGGCTTAGGGTAGAAAAAGGGAAAAAAAAGGATGAGGATTGGCAATAGATCTTAGCTCAGGGCCAGTCTTTCTCAGCAAAAAGAA